TGTCGCGTTACCGGCAAATTCTTCCTGATCCTACGGTGGAAAAAAAATCCTTGGAAGGCGGTGGGTCTTCCAGTGAAGAATCACACTTATTAACCAATGTTGGCGTTAGAAATCCGAAGGTGAGTGCGTGAGTGTGTTTTGATCTATCTTATAAATTGAAACAAACAAGGCGAAACTTCAAGTCTCAATGTATCATGTTAACTGCCAAAACGAGGCAAAGATCGACTTTTTTTCCCCTTCCGTTTTCTAATTTTGGTAATTTTCAAACTAAGGGGTCATTCATCGATATATTTCCACAGTTAAAGGAAGGCATAGATGTCCCGCTCAAAAACAGTGATTTGCAGAAAATTTCAAGAGCATGTTCCACAACATTTCTTCCGCAAGACTTTGCAACAATGATTTTGAGTATTCCCTCGCTGAAAAACGCCTTGAAGTTCCTTCACTTAAAAGAGCTGCAGGAGCAGAGTAAAAGTTTATGTAAGAGGAAAGAGGATCCGTCTGTTTTAAGAGTTGGCTCCAAGTGTTACCAGCAACTTGTTTCATTTAGCTGGGCAAAGTCGCTGACAGAATGGCAGGAAAGAGCACCTGATGTGTTAGATACTTTATCCGCTATAGCGGTACCGGACAACCTATCAAGTTCTCAAAGAGCTGATGCCATTATTCCGCCGTTATGCACTGCGTGCAGCATCCTACTAAATACTAGAAATGCAGAATTAAGTCTTGTGCAGAAAATGGTATCCGTTGTTCTTGGACTTGGAGGATGTAACAAAATGGTATGACTTAAAATTACTAACATATATCTGGGTGTTGTTGTGGCTCTGTTTTAACTCTCCCCTGTATTTATCATTCTTCAATAAGCTCTTTCTGAAACATTAATTTTGCAATAAGCTCTCCTCCATCAGAGACACGCCCAAAATTAAACCATCTATAATTGCAAGAATTTTTTGGAAGGTTAACTCCAACTAAACTATTTTTTAGGTACTTTATCTGTAAATTTTTTTACAAAAAACACAACCTGAAACAGTCTCTTTAGATTGGCCCTTTAGATTTGAATATAATAAGAGAGTAGTAGCTGGCCACTGGCATGTGCAGTCCCTCCTCCTAGCCACTTTGAAAAGAAAGCAAAAGCAACTAGCACTCAACTTTGTTGTATAATTGCAGTACCAATAATAAATTATAATCCAGAAGAGAATAATTAATCTTGTGAGTGAAAATAAATTTAGGAAATATTTTGCATCAAAACTGAAAATTATGAATTTCCTCTTATAGACATTCCAAAGGTTAAATAAACTGGGAATATGTCAGTCCAGTGACAGCTGGTTAAGAATCATGGATGATGTTGGTGGGAACCTAGAAAGCATCATCAAAGAACTAATGAATGAGGGCAAGGAGCCAAGAGTGGTATATGATAACTTTGATTTCCGCATTACTCCAGGGCAGCTGACAAAAGATCATCAGAACACAGACAACCACTGGATATCTCAGTATGTGACCTTCAATCGAATAGATACGAGTGGCATGAATAACAGTCAACCTATAGGTGAACTTAGTAAATTTGAAATATTTGGTTATCTGTTAAATGAGGTAGAGGAGGCTAAGTTAAGATCTGATTACATAATTCTTGTAACCAGAGTCTTGGTAAAATTCATTTCCTGG